AGAACAAAAGCATAAATTGGCTGTAAATAAGCATTACTGAATTTCGAGATATATAATTACAGAGGCTGTTCAGACAAAAGGAAAATAAAATATTTGAATTTTCTCCACTATTAAGATTAAATAGAATTATAAATTCAAATATAGGCTCAATATGCTTCATGGAAAATTGCATCTTAAATTTTTTATTAATTAAAATCTTTTCATGCTTGCATGTAGGTGTACCTGTGTATGCAATGCCCAGGGAGGACAGAAGAGGGCGTTGGCTCCCGTGGAAATGGAGCCAGTGCTCATAACTGCTGAGCTGTTTCTCTGGCCCCTATCCACACTTATTAATTGCCTCTGGTTATGTATAAATCTTGACTTACTATATAAACATGTACCTGTTAGGTAACATTAAACGTTAATGAACCCAGACTCTGGCCCTGAGGAATCAAATCAGCTTCTAGGTTTTAGCCAGTTGCTGAGGCCATGAGAAAACGCAGGAATGGGGGAGGAGGAAAGTTTATACTGGAATCACCACCTTTCTCTAGAATCCAGAGTCTTTTCTCATTTTTACACACCAGATATTGTGTCACAACCGCTGACTTTTATATTCAGCTTGCCGGGGCCGATGGTAATCTCGCTCAAGGAAAACTCCTTATTGAAAACTCCTTACTGAAGATACTCTAAAGGAAAAGGAAAGACTGAGGCCGCGGGCTGCTCAGGGAAACGGAAACACTGGCGCATCTAGAACCACCACAGTCTCCGCAGGTTTCTTCTCTGTAGAGACGGAGTCTCCATCTCCGTCTCTACAGCGACGTCTCTATCTCCACCCATACAGCTGTGTCCACTTCCCCCATGATTGACGCTGGGGAACTACATTACCCAGAGGAGACCGCGGGCCGAGCCCGGGAAGGCTCAGCCAATGAAAACGGGTTTCTTTTCTGCAAATTGGCACGGGGATTTCCAGCTTTGCTTTTCCTGGATTCTCTGGCTGGGTTTGCGTCCAGCTGGCCAGGGGAGGAACGGAGTGAGGAGCACGGCTTAGTCCTGTGGCTCCGAGTCGGCTCTGCGGCGTCCCTTGACCCGCTGCAGGCCTGGGGTAGGGACGGCCCTTGTGTCCCTCTGGCCGGCAGAGTCAGATGGCAGCGGCTGTGCGGGGAGACCCGAGTCAGGTGAGTGCCACGTGGTCCAGGACCCTCGGGAGTCCTAGAGCGCAGTGCGGGTTGGGTTCGAGACTCTGCAGCTCCAGACCGGGAGTCACCCACGGACAGCTTCCCATTGACATGTTTGTGCTGGGATGTGATGCCCTGACTCTCAGGGGCAGTGGACCGCGCTTGACAAGGCTTCGAGGTGGACGTACTCAGTGTCTTAAATTTGAGGTTTGTCTGGTGTTAGTTTTTTTGTTTGTTTGTTTGTTTTTGTTGTTGTTGTTAAATTGTATGTAGAGTTTTTATTTTTAGTTTTTCAAATGTCTGGTTGAGCTTGCCATATCAGAGTCCAGGTCTGCAGCGACCCTCCCCCAGTGCAGTAAAGCCTCAAAAGGGGTGGGGGCGCTCTGGAAAACAGGAAATGAGTCAGCAGCAGCTGCTGCTCCAGTGACGAGGAGCCAGTTTCAACATAGTCTGTTTCCCCCAGATAAATTTAAAAGATAAACAGGCCCCTGCACCCATGACCCACTGCTGCAAGAGCTGTCTCAGATGCTCCCCCTGATAAGTTTCACCCCTCCCTCCACCCTGCTGAAACTGCCTACAAATATTTCCCCACCTTCTGCATTCCCTACCCGTATAAGAACCTCCAGCCAGCAACCTGAAAAGGGAGTGGTCTTTACTCAATCAGACTTTGAGAGCCACCCCTGGTGACCTCCCAGATAAATCTTGCTTTTGCTGGAGTTCTTCTGCGTGGTGAGTCTTTCCCAATTTACCTATCAGTCCATGGTGGTTAACTGTTAGATTTGTGAAAAGGCCAGGACCACTGAAGACCACTCTGAGGGGAGAAAAGAAGAAATTTATTGAAATGGACAAGTTGCTAGACTGCTCCCACACGAGAAAGGGAGCAGTGGTTTCTGTCACAGTAGGCTGGGTTTTATAGATTTCTTTTGTGGGTAGGGGGAGGTGAGACTAGCAGGAAGGTGAGTCAGTAGCAGGTGCCTTGGTTGGGGGCGGATTCGGTTAGGTGTATTTGAGTTTTTTCAGTTGACTGCAGTGGAAAATTGCTGTTATGATCAGGGTGCATTATTAAAGGCCAAGTGGTCATTGAGAAACTAGGAGGATCTAGTTTCTGTTTCCCAGAAGGTTGCCCACCATGTCACTGCCATGTTGGTGGTCAGTAGTGACTCCATCTTCCGGCCCAGTTTGACCTACAGTACCAACAGGGGCTGGAGAGATGGCTCAGTAGTTAAAAGCACTGTCTGCTCTTGCAGAGGACTCTGGCTGAGTTCCCAGCACCCACATGGTGGCTAACAACTGCCTGTAAAATCCAACCCCTTCTCTGGCACCCACTGACACACGGAGAAAAAGCATCCCCTGGAGGGTTCATAAAAGAACACTGGTTGTTCTTGGAGAAGACCCAGGTTTGAATCCCAGCACCCACATGGCAGCCAACAACTGTCCATAACTCCAGTCCCAGGGGAGCCGACAGCCTCCTCTGACCGCGGGCATTGCACAACACGGGTGCACTTACCTACCTGCAGGCAATATGCACATAAGCGTAAAATAAAAATAATAAATAAAATTTAAAAAAAACGAATTTAAGAATGGACCCAAACAGAAGGTTTAGGAGAATTTTATTCGAATTTAAACAAAAATCCTCAGGGCAGGCAAACTGGAAATCTCTGCAGCTGCTTTGAGGAGATTTGAGGGGAAGAGGATCAATGAAGCCACCACACGGGAGGTCAGATGCATGGCCGACTGGCAGTAACATGGTGGTGAGAAGGAAGCGCTAGAGAAAAAGTAAAGAAATACAAAATACTGGAGCAATCCAAAGCATCAAAGATAGCGTGTTTATGAAGAAAGAGAGAGAGAAAGATCACACTTTTCTTCAGAAACGTTGGCTGGCTTAGAGTCCTGGCAGGGTCCAGAAGTACTCCCAGGGAGGTGGGATTCCAAACAGGAAAAGTTCACAACCTCATCTATGTAGCATGACTTAAAGTGAACCTGCCTTCTTGGGGTGGTCCTGTGATGTGGTGATTGACCTGTGAAACTGGAAAAGTGAGTGGGTCTTCCAGCAGATACACTAGTGTACTGGATAGTTTTAGTGTCAACTTGACACACCTGGGTTGAGGGCGACTCAGTTGGGGAATTACCTCCATTGGACTGGCCTGTGGTCATGTCTGTGGGGCATTTTCTTGATTGTTGAGTGATGTGGGAAGGCCCAGCCCACAGTGAGTGGTACTGCCCCTGGGGAGGTGGTCCTGTATTGTATAGTAAAGGTTGAGCAAGGGTCATGGAAGCAAGCCAGTAAGCAGCATTTCTCCATGGTCTCCGGGTTCCTGTCCTGAGTTCCTAACTTGGGCTCCCTCAGTGATGAACTGTGACCTGGGAGATGTGAACTAGATAAACCCTTTCCTCTTGTACAGAAGTACAGATCATGCTGGGAATCTAATCTGGGTCCACTGCAAGAGCAGTCAGTGCTCTTAATGGCTGAGCCATCTCTCCAACCCCTACGCCAGTATTTTTTAATATTACTGTTAATAATCACATTAAATAACCTTTAATCACATTAAAATAACCTTTAATAACTAAACATACCAAATTTGACTTTATTGGCTCCTGATATAAGCCAGGTGATGTACTACTCCTATACGCCTAACTCTAAGTAATCTTAATGTCATGAAACATAGTGACATCAAAAATTAACTTATCACCCAATTATAAGAAATTTGTTCTCAAATTGCATTTGTAGGAGAAACTGCAAGAGATGTTAGATAAATTATGTCATAAATTGCCTTGTTACTAAGGCAGCAAAGCTTTGTATGTTAATGCTGAAATCATTTATTTTTTAAAATTGTGAATAAAGCCGAGCGTCGTGGTGCACGGCTGTAGTCCCAGCACTTGGGAGGCAGAGGCAGGCTGATCTCTGAGTTCAAGGCCAGCCTGGTCTACATAGTGAGTTTTAGGCCAGGGGGGCTACAAGGAGACCCTGTCTCAATAAGACAAAAAAAGAAAAGAAAAAAAAAACAAAACAAACAAAAACCACCCCAACAAATTGTGAATAAAACTATAACATTTAAATGAAAACTCAGGAAGTCAGTCTTACTAATATGTGATTAAGTTCAGATGTTTTTTTACATCACATTCATATTCAAATAAATGTCTTATATTTTCAAAACCTGTTTATTTACATGGAAATTCCTTTTGAAACTTCATTTGCGTGTATATGTGCACATGCTTGCCAGGGCATGTGTGTGGAGGTCAGAGAACAGATTGCTGGAGTCAGTCCTCTCCTTCTACCATGTGAACCCTGGAGATAGAACTCAGGCTTGCTGGCAGGCACCTTTATCTGCTGAGCCATTTGCTGGGCATCTTAACATCTGCATTAATTATATGTTCAAGAGGACACTGTTCTACCAAGTCGACACATAGGATTGAGATTGACAAATAAAACTCCTTGGGGGAGGGGTACCATTCTTATCCAGATGATAACACGGAGTTCAATGCCTTGTCCAAGGGCACACAGTTAGAGAGACTTCGTTGACAACTGAGGCCAGGCGGCAGTTAGGAATTCCTGACTGCAGTGTGTGTGGAAGGACTGGGCATCCCTTTGGGATGCAACAATCATTACTTTTTACTCACAGCCTTGTTTTCCCATAGGTTCCTATTAGCGCCAAGACACTTACAGACCATGAAGGCTTAGTGGAAGGTTGCCCAGGTCAATTCCCTGGGCAATCACTGGGATTGTATGCTGGGTCGCCGCCTGCGACTTTCCTTAACCTCTCTGAATTCTCTGGACTATGACTGCAGAATTCACATTCCTGAGTCCACAGTGGTGATTCTATGGAGAGGTTCCTATTTATGGTAATCACTGGCATGAGATTCAAAAGGCATTACAGGTCCAGTGATGAGCCAGGTGTGCTGGCACACACCTTTACTCCCAGCACTTGGGTGGCAGAAGTAGGTGGATCTCTGTGAGACTGAGGCAAGCCTGGTCTATGCAGCAAGTTTTAGGGCGAACTGGGGCTAGTGTGACACTGTATCTCCAAAAACAATTGCACAGATGAATATCAGGAAATCCTGGGAGTGAGAGATGATTAGGAATGCTCAGAAAACCTTACATGTCTGTTTTGTCTGGTGGAAAGAGTAGAAGGCAGGTGTGAGGCTGGAACACCAGCCGGAGGAGCTGGGTGTTTACAGAGATGGAAAGGGATCCGCAGTACAAAGAGTGCTGTGGGAAGGGAGCGTGCAGAAATGGCGTCACCGCCCATGGTCCAGGTGCATAAGAGAAGAGGGACCCACATCTGGTTGTGTCAGAGGACTGACTGCATGTGAATTATCTGTAAGGACAGGGAGGGACTTTCCAGTCAGATGTCCAGCTTGGATGGTCTCCCATCTGTCCATCGGCCTTCTGTTGTTGAGTGCTGAACACAGCGGTCAGGGGCACCTTGAGGAGACACTGTTGCAGTGGCTCCAGGGCCTTGGAGGGAGAAAGCTAAGCATGAGTGACTCTGTAACAGGAAACCCAGGAAAGGGGTTTCTTAGGACCTCAGCTCTCCCCATTGTGACAGGGCCCTGTGACCTTTAAGGACGTGGCTGTCTACTTCTCAAAGGAGGAATGGACACTGCTGGATGCCTCTCAGAGACTGCTGTACCGCAGTGTGATGCTGGAGAACTTCTCGCTCATGGCCTCTGTGGGTAAGGGCCACCTACTGTGTGGGAGAACATGGGGGTAGGCTTGGCTTCTCTTTTCCTAGAGGTGGGTGTAATTCTTCTTACATCCAGCCCATGTTCACTGATTATTTCCCTGGCGTCCTGAAATAAAAAATAACCATCTTCCCTCTCAAGTACAGCAAAGACAGGCCGGAAGCAGCTTGGGGTCAGGGCAGTTTTAACTGGTAACCCTTGTAGAGCTGACCATACTGCCTCTCCACAGTCTGGTGACACTATAAATACATGTCACTTCTATGATGCAATTTGATGGTTTGAATAATCTATAAGCTCCAAGTATTTGGATATTTGTCCCCAGTTGCTGGCATGGACTGTAATTTCCCTGGGATCATAAACTCAAACTCTTGTATAAATTGCTTTGGTCACTTTTTCTATCACAGCAATAGAACATCCCAGGCACTGCCCTTTTCCCCCCACTGACATGCATTTCTTCTGCCTGCGGTAGAATGGTGGCACTGATGTGGTCACTATTTCATGGTTTTTCTCAGGTCACTCTCCTCTGAGGAGCTTTCCATTGGTTTTCTCTTCTAAGGACTGTCGTGGTTGGGTCTCTGTTTTTGTAGTGTAGGTTGTTCACCTGTCCTACCTTTCTCATAGGACTTGTACCTTCTGGAACCCAAGAAATCAGTCATCTGGAGCTGTGGGGAGAGCCCTTCATCCAGGCACTGGGAATCATGACTCCAGCTATGTGGACAGGTACGAGGAGGTTGAAGCTGGGTGATGTGTCAGCTCTCCAGGAGGTTCATATCAAACATTTCCTGGTTCTCATGTTCTGTGCCAAAGGGCAGGATTATTTCAGATTCCCCTCTTTCGTAGCTTGCCCGTGTTTTGCCCGTTCCCTGCAGCACTGTGGAGCAGTGGCATTCCTACATTGTGCTATTAGTGTGCACCAATCCCCTGAGTAGTCCTTGAATGCCAAGTACTTCAGTTTCATGTTTTATGGCCCTCAGCAGACTCTTCTGTGCTATGTTTTGCCTCTCCAGGAGCTGAGATCCTGCAGAAGGTCATTTGTTGAGGCGTGTGTTTGGGCCCCTCTGTCTTCTCACTGTGTTGTATGCCATATGCGCTGGATAGCTTTAGTTGTCCACTTGACACACCTGGGTAGAGGGAGCCACAATTGGTGAATTGCCTCCATTGGACTGGCCTGTGGCCATGTCTGTGTGGCATTTTTTTGATAATTAAGTGATGTGGGAGGGCCCACTCACTGTGGGTGGTGCCACCCCTGGGCAGGTGGGCCTATGTTGTATAAGAAAGCAGGCTGAGCAGGGGTCAGGGGAGCAAGCCAGTAAGCATTCTTCCATGGCCTGTGCTCCAGCTCCTGCCTCCAGGTTCCTGCCTTGAGTTTCTACCTTGGGCTCCCTTGGTGATGAAGTGTGACCTGGGAGCTATAAGCCGAATAAATCCTTTCCTCCCCAAGTTGGTATTGGTAAGAGTCTTTTGTCATGGCAATTGAAGTAAAATTAGAACACCATCTGTCCTAGTTTGTTTTTCCATTGCTGTGACAAAATACACTGACCACTACCAACTTGGGGAGGATAGGGTTTATTTGTCTTACATTTCCCAGATCACAGTTCATCAGGGAGCCCAAGGTAGGAACCTAGAGGCAGGAGCTGGAGCATAGGCCATGGAGGATCGCTGCTTACTGGCTTGCTCCCCTGGCCCCTGCTCAGCCTGCTTTCTTATGCAACACGGGCCCACCTGCCCAGAGTTGGCATCACCCACAGTGGGCTGGGCCCTCCCACATTGCCCAACAATCAAGAAGGTGCCCCATGGACATGGCCATAGGCCAGTCCAATGAAGGCAATTCCACAGTTGAGGCTCCCTGAACCCAAGTGAGTCAAGTTGACACCTAGCATCCAGCACAACATCCTTTTGTTTTTATCCCCCATGAGACCTCTGGTCGGTGGTCTTGGTAGATGCAGCACTGCAGTGTGTCCTTCCCGCTCTCACCTGACCCCTTCATCCTGAAAAATCTCCCATCCTCATCTCTAGCATGTGCTTCCACACCAAAGTCTCCATTCCCTTCATCAGCATTTCTCTTACTCAGGTTGTTGGAATGGAGTGGAGGCTGAAAATGCACCTGCTGTGCAGAGTATTTCTACAGATGAAGGACTCGGTGCAGCCATTCCCCAGCAGCAAAAGCCGAGACATGGTGAGAAGCCCTTACAAATAGAAGAGGCCAGGATCTCTGTAAAGAAGAATGGCACAAAACGCCAGTTGAAGAATTTACAAAGCAGGAACAATGGGATGGATGTGCAGCCCAGCCCAGGTCTTAGGCATCAGCTGACTCGTGGGGTCGGGAAGTCATCCAGGAACTCTAACAGTGGAGAGGCCTGTCCCAGTGGGAACAGCAGCTACCAATGCAGTGACGGTGGGAAAACCTTTAGTCAGAATTCTATACTTATTCAGCACCAGACACTACACCCAGGAGAAAAGCCTTATGAATGCAGTGACTGTGGGAGACGATTTAAACATAAATCTAACCTTCTGGCGCACCAAACAATTCATGGTGGAGAAAGACCGTATGTGTGTACCGAATGTGGGAAATCCTTTGGTTGCAATACTGACCTCATTCAACACCGCAGCGTCCATACTGAAGAAAAGCCCTTTATGTGCATTGAATGTGGACAGGGTTTCAAGTATCACGGGAAACTTGTTCAACATCAGAAACTCCACACTGGAGAAAGGGGTTATAAATGTGAAGAATGTGGGAAATCCTTTGTCCGAAATGCCCAGCTCAGGGACCACTTACTTTTTCACACTTCTGAAAAGCCTTTTAAGTGCAGTGAGTGTGGGGAATCATTTAGGTCCAGACCCACCCTTAAAAGTCATTCCCGAGTTCACACCGGGGAAAAGTCCTATGAGTGCAGTGAATGTGGGAAAGTATGTCTGAAGAAATCAAAGCTTATAAATCACAGGCGAATTCATACTGGTGAAAGACCTTTTGAGTGCAGTGAATGCGGGAAAGTGTTTAGGCAGAAATACAACCTTATAAGTCATTGGCGCACTCATACTGGAGAAAGACCTTATGAGTGCAGTGAGTGTGGAAAAGTGTTCAGGCAGAAATACAGCCTTATATGCCATTGGCGAGTTCACACTGGGGAAAGACCTTATGAGTGCAGTCAATGTGGGGAATCATTTAGGTCCAAATCCACCCTTAGAAATCATTCCCAAATTCACACTGGAGAAAAGTCCTATGAGTGCAGTGAATGTGGGAAAGTATTTAGGCAGAAATACAGCCTTATAAGCCACTCCCGAGTTCATACTGGAGAAACACCTTATGAGTGCAGTGAATGTGGGAAAGTATTTAGGCAGAAATACAGCCTTATAAGCCATTGTCGAGTTCATACTGGAGAAAGACCTTATGAGTGCAGTGAGTGTGGGAAAGGATTTAGGGAAAAATCTAGCCTTCGAAATCATAGGCGAATTCATACTGGAGAAAGACCTTATGAGTGCAGTCAGTGTGGGAAAGCATTTACAGAAAAGTCCACCCTTAAAAATCATTACCGAGTTCATTCTGGGGATAAGCCTTTTGAGTGCAGTGAATGTGGCAAAGTGTATAGGAGAAAATCCAGCCTTAAATTTCATAGGCGAATTCATACTGGAGAAAAGCCTTATGAGTGTAGTGAGTGTGGGAAAGCGTTTACCGAAAAATACAGACTTATCCGTCATAGGCGAATTCATACTGGAGAAAGACCTTATGAGTGCAGTGAATGTGGGAAAACATTTACAGAAATGTCCACCCTTAAAAATCATTACCAATTTCATTCTGGAGAAAAGCCTTTTGAGTGCAGTGAATGTGGCAAAGTGTATAGGAAAAAATCCAGCCTTAAATATCATAGGCGAATTCATACTGGAGAAAAACCTTATCAGTGCAGTCAATGTGGAAAAGCATTTACAGAAAATTCCAGTCTTTTTTATCATTTCCGAGTTCATACTGGGGAAAAGCCTTTTGAGTGCAATGAATGTGGGAAATCTTTTAGGAAAAACTGTCACCTTACAAAACACACAGAAAAAGTTCACAGCAGAGGACAGCAATGAGTGTGGGAGTCTTTCCTGGACATTCCAGCCTCATTTAACATCAGAGAGTTCACACTGCAACAGTCTTTTTTAAAAAAATTTTTTATTATTTTTATGTGTATGAGTGTATTGCCTACATGTATGTAAGTGCACTCGTGTCGTACAATGCTGTAGAAGTCAGAAGAGGATTTCGGATTCCCCTGGAACTGGAGTTAAGGATGGTTTGTAGCCGCCATGTGGGTGCTGGGAATCGAACCCTGGTCCTCTGCAAGAGCAGTCAGTGCTCTTATCTGCTGAGCCATCTCTCCAGCCCTGCAGCAAAGTCTTTTGAGTTGGTCCCCAGAAAAACTAGGGAAAATTAGGCACACAGCAGAAAATCCCTGAAATGTGGGAATGGTTTTCTTAGCACTTCTGGCCTTTGTAGACACTGGAAGATTCCCAGGTGATGGATGCATTGTGAGTGCAGTGAACACGGACAATACCGTAGTTGTCTAATGTAATTCCCCAGCAGAGTGTCCACTGCACAAAATGCTTCAGTGCTTCAGTTTGGACATCCTCTGCCCGTTCTTCCATCTCTTTAGCCCCAGAGACATCCCAGTGCTGGAATGAGTCACACAGGCACTGATTGATCATGGGAAAGCCTTTGAGCAAAGGTCTGCTCTCACTAGCAACAGTAACAACCCAGATATGTTTATGAATGCAGGGAATGTAGAAAAGCTTCAGCCACTGACCTGCTTTGGAGTGAACTTGACCTAAAACAGAAGTTTTGAGGGTAGCCTTTGTGAGGCAGCCAGCAACTGAGACTTCTCATCAGATTGCCATGCTGGAACAGCCGGAGGATTATTGATACCAGTTCCCAGCGAGGGGCTCTTGAATGGTGCCACTGGGAGAGTTGAGCCCTGCATTCCTGACTGCTCCAGACTGGAATGGAGTGTCCATGCTACTGAGGGTAGATGGGGTAGGAACACAATAATGGCCTTGGTTTAAATGGCTGATGATTGTTCTAACTGAATGCTACATTTCTCTAAATAAACGTTTATTCCGCTATGCTCTCGACCACTTCAGAGGTTTTTTGCTGTGTGTGTAATTTTCTGTAGTGTTTTTGGGGACCAGCTCCAGGTAGGTCCTAATGCTCTTGCATAGAAGTGCCATTCAAATGTTTTACGATTTTTAAGAAGTTGACCAGATTCCCTTGTACATGGTGCTGTAGTTTGTATTTCCTGCTGGAATATATCAGGCACCAGTTTTTCTGCCATTTTGTAAATCATGAGCCATTCACGTTAGTTTTTCTAGTAGGTATGTGGTGGCACATAATTGTGGTTTTAATTGCATTTCTCTATGTATTTGTGTTCTTTTGGTCTTTTTGAGACAGGGTCTCCCTGTAGCATCAGTAGTGTTTCTGTTTTAAAAATATTATATTATTTTATGTCCATGAGTGTTACGCCCCGATGTATGTAAGTGCACCTGTGTCACGCAGTGCCTGAGGAGGTATGAAGGGGGCCCTGGATACCTTAGAGCTGGACTTACGGATAGTGGTTAGCTGCCTTGTCAGTTATGGGAATCGAACCTGGTCCTTGGCAAGAGCAGCCAGTGCTCTCGACAGGTGAACCATCTCTTCAGCCATTTTTTTCTTTCTTTTGAAAAACAGGGTCTTGACCGAGCATGGCAGTGCATTCCTTTAATCTCAACACTTGGGAGACAGAGGCAGGTGGATCTCTGTGAGTTCAAGGCCAGTCTGTTCTACATAGAAGTCCAAACAGGAAAAGACAGAAAAAAAGAAAGAAAGAAAGAAAGAAAGAAAGAAAGAAAGAAAGAAAGAAAGAAAGAGAAAGAAAGAAAGAAAGACCCTCCCCACGGTACTCTGCAGCTCATTGAAGATTCTCTTCAGTAGACACCATATTGACACGGAAATCCAGTCCTCCAAAATAGAAAAACTGGTATATCTCCTAGTGTTCTACCTGACAGCAACAGGATGGAGCTAGAGATGAGCAGTAAAGGAAATGACAGACACACTGCAGGTTATACAGCACACTAGTGAAGAACAATAGTGAAGAAATCAATGCCAAATACTTGGTTGTCCACCAACTACCCATGTGAATATTGATCATAATGCTTGTGAAAATCAGGTTAGTGTGAAGGAAAGGTGTATAAGATGTTTAAAAAGTAGGTCAGAGAAATATTTGTGAAATTTGTGAAACTTTTTTCAAAGAAATGCAAGTGTGGCTGTAAAGGCTGGTATTAAGATACATTAAATGCAGCCTGGAGAGATGGCTGTGGAGTTAAGAGCACTGGCTGCTCTTGCAGAAGTCCTGGGTTCAAATCCCAGCACCCACATCAAGGTTAGCAACCATGTATGACCCCAGTTGTAGGGGATCCGACTCCCTCTTCTGGCCTCTGGGGGCATTGCAGGACACAGGTGTACTACAGAGATGCTGGCATTACACACATAAAACTAAATTAATTTTGAAAACCATACATTAAAAGGTTCATGAGCCAGGTGTGGTGGTGCACTACTTTAATCCCAGAACTCAAGAGGGAAACAGATCTCTATGAGTTCTAGGTTAGCCCTGCCTCCATTCTGAGATCTTGTAAAAAAAAAAAAAAAAAAAAAAACTTATAAATTGGCTGTAAATATTACTGAATTTCAAGGATTATAGAGGCTGTTCAGACAAAAGGAAAATAATAAAATATTTGGAATTTCTCCGCTGTCAAGATTAACTTAAACCATGAAATCAAAAATAGGCTCAATTTGCTGCAAGCAAAATTGCATCGTAAAATTGTTTTACTAAAATCTTTTCATGCTTGCATGTAAGTGTACCTGTGTGTGCAATGCCCAAGGACGACAGAAGAGTGCATTGGCTCCGATGGAAATGGAGCCAGTGCTCATAAGTGTTGAGCCTTTCTCCAGCCCCTATCCATATTTATTAATTGCCTCTAGTTATGTATAAATCTTGATTATTAAAGAAACATGTAGCTAATATGTAAAATTAAAACTTAACCCAGAGCCTGGCCCTGAGGAATCAAATCAGCTTCTAGGTTTTAGCCAGTTGCTGAGGCCATGAGAAAACGCAGGAATGGGGGAGGAGGAAAGTTTATACTGGAATCACCACCTTTCTCTAGAATCCAGAGTCTTTTCTCATTTTTACACACCAGATACTATGTCACGACTGTTGACTTTTATATTGAGCTTGCCTGGGCCCAGGGTAATCATGATTTCGCCCAAGGAAACCTTACTGGAGCCCTGAACATACTCTTGAGACGAAGATTGAGGCCGGGAGCTGCTCGGGGAAACGAAAACACCGGCGCATCTAGAACTACCACAGTCTCCATCTCCATCTCCATCTCCATCTCCATCTCCATCTCTACAGGGGAGCCTCCCTCTCACCTGTACAGCCATGTCCACTTCCCGCATGATTGATGCTGTAGGAACTACATTACCCAGAAGTGACTGCGTGTAGCCTGCGGGAAGGCTCAGCCAATGAAAACAGGGGTTTCTTTTCCACATTAGGGAGGGCCAAATCTCTGGCATTTCCCTGCACCGAGGTTCTGTCTGGATTTGTGTCCAGTTGGACGGGGGAGGAACGGAGAGAGGAGCACGGCTTAGTCCTGTGGCACAGAGTCGGATCCGCGATGGCAGCGAATAAGCCGGGAGTCCCGAGTCAGGTGAGTGCCACGTGGTCCAGGACCCTCGGGAGTCCTAGAGCGCAGTGCGGGTTGGGTTCGAGATGCTGCAGCTCCGGACGGGGGGGTCACCCGCGGACAACTTCCCATTGATCATGAAGAGTGAGCAGAAGGTTGCCCAGGTCAATTCCCACTTAAGCAATCACTGGGAGTGTATCCTGGGTCGCCGCCTGCTACCTTCCCTATCCTCCTATCTGAATTCTCTGGACTATGACTGCAGAATTCATATTCCTGAGTCTACAGCAGGGATCTATGGAGAAGTTCCCATTTATGGCAATCACTGGCATGAGATTCAAAAGGCATTACAGGTCCAGTGATGAACCAGGTGTGGTGGCACATGCCGTTAATCCCAGCACTTGGGTGGCAGAAGTAAGTGGATCTCTGTGAGACTGAGGCAAGCCTGGTCTACATAGCAAGTTCTAGGGGGAACTGGGCCTAGTGTGAGACCCTATCTAAAAAAAAAAAAACATGAACTTGCAGTGATGAACATTAGGAAATTCTGGAAGTGAGGCTGGATCTTGGAATGCTGAGAAAACCTCAGGTGTCCGTTTTGTCTGGTAGAAAGAGTGGAAGACAGGACTTAGGACTGGAACACCAGCTGGAGGAGCTGGGTGTTTACAGGGATGGAAAGGGAACGGCAGTACAAAGAGTGCTGTGGGAAGGGAGCGTGCAGAGATGGCGTCACTGCCCATGGTCCAGGTGCATAAGAGAAGAGGGACCCACATCTGGTTGTGTCAGAGGACTGCATGTGAATTATCTGTAAGGACAGGGAGGGGCTTTCCAGTCAGATGTCCAGCTTGGATGGTCTCCCATCTGTCCATCGGCCTTCTGTTGTTGAGTGCTGAACACAGCATTCAGGGGGACCTTGAGGACACACTGTTGCAGTGGCTCCAGGGCCTCGGAGGGGGAAAGCTAAAGTGACTGTGGTAGCAGGAGACCCAGGGAAGGGGTTTCTTAGGACCTCAGCTCTCCCCATTGTGACAGGGCTGTGTGACCTTTAAGGACGTGGCTGTCTACTTCTCAAAGGCGGAATGGACACTGCTGGATGCCTCTCAGAGACTGCTGTACCGCAGTGTGATGCTGGAGAACTTCTCGCTCATGGCCTCTGTGGGTAAGGGCCGCCTACTGTGTGGGAGAACATGGGGGTAGGCTTGGCTTCTCTTTTCCTAGAGGTGGGTGTGCCCTTCCCACATCCAGCCCATGGTCACTGATTCTTTCCTTAGTGTCCTGGAATAGAAAATAAAGGTGGTATTCCTGGTCGGGCACCCACCATGTTCCCTCTCAAGTACAGCAAAGGCAGGTAGGAAGCAGCCTGGGGCCAGGAATGTTTTAATCACTGTCATAGAGCTGAGCTTGCTGCCCTTTCCATAGTCTGGTGACACTAGAAACACATGGCACTTCCCAGGCACTGCCCTTTTCCCCCCATTGACATGCATTTCTTCTGCCTGCGGTAGAATGGTGGCACTGATGTGGTCACTATTTCATGGTTTTTCTCAGGTCACACTCCTCTGAGGAGCTTTCCATTGGTTTTCTCTTCTAAGGACTGTCGTGGTTGGGTCTCTGTTTTTGTAGTGTAGGTTGTTCACCTGTCCTACCTTTCTCATAGGACTTGTACCTTCTGGAACCCAAGAAATCAGTCATCTGGAGCTGTGGGGAGAGCCCTTCATCCAGGCACTGGGAATCATGACTCCAGCTATGTGGACAGGTACGAGGAGGTTGAAGCTGGGTGATGTGTCAGCTCTCCAGGAGGTTCATGTCAAACATCATTTCCTGGTTCTCATGTTCTGTGCCAAGGGGCAGAATTATTTCAGATTTCCCTCTGTCATAGCTTGCCGAGGTGCCTGGTCATCATCTGTAGTATTTCTGAACCAGGGCTATGCCACTCCTCATGAGACCTCTGGTCTGTGGTCTTGGTAGATGCAGCACTGCAGTGTGTCCTTCCCGCTCTCACCTGACCCCTTCATCCTGACAAATCTCCCGTCCTCGTCTCTAGCATGTGCTTCCACACCAAAGTCTCCATTCCCTTCATCAGCATTTCTCTTACTCAGGTCGTTGGAATGGAGTGGAGGCTGAAAATGCACCTGCTGTGCAGAGTATTTCTATAGATGAAGGACTCGGTGCAGCCATTCCCCAGCAGCAAAAGTCGAGTCGTGGTCCCCTTCATCCTGACAAATCTCCCATCCTCGTCTCTAGCATGTGCTTCCACACCAAAGTCTCCATTCCCTTCATCAGCATTTCTCTTACTCAGGTCGTTGGAATGGAGTGGAGGCTGAAAATGCACCTGCTGTGCAGAGTATTTCTATAGATGAAGGACTCGGTGCAGCCATTCCCCAGCAGCAAAAGTCGAGTCGTGGTGAGAAGCCCTTACAAATAGAAGAGGCCAGGATCTCTGTAAAGAAGAATGGCACAAAACGCCAGTTGAAGAATTTACAAAGCAGGAACAATGGGATGGACGTGCATCCCAGCCCAGGTTTTAGGCATCAGCTGACTTGCAGGGACGGGGAGTCATCCAGGAACTCTAACAGTGGAGAGGCCTGTCCCAGTGGGAACAGCAACTACCAATGCAGTGATGGTGGGAAAACCTTTAATCAGAATTCTGTACTTACTCAACACCAGACACTACACCCAGGAGAAAAGTCTTATGAATGCAGTGAATGTTGGAGACGATTTAAACATAAATCTAACCTTCTGGCGCACCAAACAATTCATAGTGAAGAAAGGCTTTATATGTGTCCCGAATGTGGGAAATCCTGTCGTTGTAATACTGAGCTCATTCAACACTGCAGAGTCCATACTGAAGAAAAGCCCTTTACGTGCATTGAATGTGGACAAGTTTTCAAGTATCACGGGAAACTCATTCAACATTTCAGAATCCATACTGGAGAAAAGCCTTATAAATGTGAAGAATGTGGGAAATCCTTTGTCCGAAATTCCTATCTCAGGGGACACTTAGTTTGTCACAGTGCTGAAAAACCTTTTAAGTGCAGTGAATGTGGGGAATCATTTAGGTACAGACCCACCCTTAAAAATCATCTCCTAGTTCACACTGGGGAAAAGCCCTATGAGTGCAATGAATGTGGGAAAGTATGTCTGAAGAAATCCAGCCTTATTAATCACATGCGCATTCATACTGGAGAAAGACCTTATGAATGCAGTCAGTGTGGGAAAGGATATAGGCATAAATCTAGCCTTATAAGTCATTTTCGAATTCATACTGGAGAAAAACGTTATGAATGCAGTGAATGTGGAAAAGCATTTACAGAAAAGTACAGCCTTAAAAGTCATTACCGAGTTCATACTGGGGACATCCCTTATGAGTGCAGTGAATGTGGAAAAGCATTTACAGAAAAGTCCAGTCTTAAAAATCATTGCCAAGTTCATACTGGAGAAAATCCTTATGAGTGCAGTGAATGTGGTAAAGGATATAGGCGGAAATTCAGCCTTACAGTTCATAGGCGAATTCACACAGGAGAAAGACCTTATGAGTGCAGTGAGTGTGGGGAATCATATAGGTGCAGACGTACCCTTAAAAATCATTTCCGAGTCCACACTGGGCAAAAGCCTTTTGAGTGCAGTGAATGTGGGAAGTCTTTTACCAAAAACTCTTACCTTACACAACACACAAAAAAAGTTCACAGCAGAGGACAGCAATGAGTGTGGGAGTCTTTCCTGAACATCCAGCCTCATTTAACATCAGAGAGTTCACACTGCAGCAAAGTCTTTTAAGTGCAGGGAATGTGGCCTTTGTAGACACTGGAAGATTCCCAGGTGATGGATGCATTGTGAGTGCAGTGAACACGGACAATACCGTAGTTGTCTAATGTAATTCCCCAGCAGAGTGTCCACTGCACAAAATGCTTCAGTGCTTCAGTTTGGAGATCCTCTGCCCGTTCTTCCATCTCTAGCCCCAGAGATCTCACAGTGCTGGAATGAGTCACACAGGCACTGATTGATCATGGGAAAGCCTTTGAGCAAAGGTCTGCTCTCACTAGCAACAGTAACAACCCAGATATGTTTATGAATGCAGGGAATGTAGAAAAGCTTCAGCCACTGACCAGCTTTGGAGTGAACTTGACCTAAAACAGAAGTTTTGAGGGTAGCCTTTGTGAGGCAGCCAGCAACTGAGACTTCTCATCAGATTGCCATGCTGGAACAGCAGCAGGGTAATTGATATCAGTTCCCAGTGAGGGGCTCTTGAATGGTGCCACTGGGAGAGTTGAGCCCTGCATTCCTGACTGCTCCAGACTGGAATGGAGTGTCCATTTTACTGAGTTTGAATGGGGTGTGAACACAATAATGGCCTTGGTTTAAATAGTCGATGATTTTTTTTCTTCTAAGTGAACGGTACATTTCCTTTAATAAACGTTTTTTGCGCTATGCTCTCGATGACTATTTCAGAGATTAGCTGCTGTGTGCCTAGTTTTCCCTTGTTTTTCTGGGGGCCAGGTACAGGAAGGTCCTCATACTTTTGCGCTGGAGTGCCGTTCAAATGTTTTAAATTTTTAAGAAGTTACCCGAATTCCCTCTTATGCGGTGGTATATTTCTTATTTCCTCCTGGAATATTTCAGACACCAGTTTTTCACATGGTAGCAAAAAATTATGGGTTCAGTTTGCAGCTCTCTATTAGTGTTAGTCTTTTAAAAATATTTAGGCCAGGCATGGTGGCACACGCCTTTAATCCCAGCACTCGGGAGGCAGAGGCAGGTGGATGTGAGTTTGAAGCCAACCTGGTCTACATAGCGAGTTCCAGGTCAGCTGGGGCTATAGGGAGACCCTGTCTCAAAAAAGACCAATATATATATACATATATATTATTTTTTATGTGTATGAATGTATTTCTTGCATGTATCTAAGTGCACCTGTGTCGTGCAGTGCCTGAGGAGGACAGAAGAGGGCGTTGGACCCCCAGAACTGGAGTTATGGATGTTGTTAGCCACCAACTGTTGGGATTCGAACCCGGATCTCCTGGAAGGACAGCCAGTGCTCTTAACCACTGAGCCATCTCTCCAGCCTGATGAAATTAAAAAAATAAAAATTTATATATATGAGTTTTATGCCTGCATCTGTGTAAGTGCACCCGTGTTGTGCAATGCCTGCAGAGGTCAGAAGATGACATTGGATTTCTCTGGAACTGAAGTTACAGACCATTGTTAGCTGCCATGTGGGTTCTTGGAATCAAACCTGGGTCTTGTGTAAGAGCACTCGGCACTCTTAACCACTGAGCCATCTCTCCAACCTGAAATAAGAAAACAATTTTTTTGGTCTTTTTGAGACAGTGTCTCCCTGTAGCCCCAGCTGGCCTGGAACTCATTTTGTAGACCAGGCTGGACTTGAACTCACAGAGATCTGCCTGCCTCTGCCTCCTGATTGCTGGGATTAAATTCATGTGCCACCACACCTGATCCTCAAAATGAAAATTTTTAAAAATTAAAAATATAAGACCTGCCAGGCATGGTTATGACTGTCCATTGTAACTCCAGTTCCAGGGGATAAGATGGCTTTTTCTGTCCTCCATGAGTTCTTAACCACTGAGCCTTCTCTCCAGCTCCTCAACATACTGCTCTATTGTTTTAGCTGGTCCATCACTCTCTGGCCTCCACATGCCCCAGTGTGGCCTACTTGAAATGCACTGAATGAAAACAATGATCATTGCAGAAATGACTGATAGAATGTGTGAAGAGCCATGAGTCTACTTAGGAAAGCAATATAACCATACATCCCTTAAAGTGGCTAACTGGCCCTAAATTGGCAGTCTGGTCTTGCTCAGGCCCTTATCAACTGGTTGCTCCCTGGACTGAGGGAGACTGTTTGTGGAGACAGCCTGTCTTCTTTAGTGCCCTAAAATAGCTTTCCTGCCTGAGAAAGTAATCTTGGGAGAGACTCTCAAGGACACCAGAACTTGGCATGGAGTTAGCTCTTGCACTTGTGTGCAACAGAGTTCCTATATAAGTCCAAACTGCTGCATATCATTCTGTGGAAGGGCTTATTGGCCCTTTGCTGGGCTCTTTGAATAAAGGAACATTCCTTGTGTGTTGTAGGTCTGGCTCTGACTCTTATTTCTGAACTTTAAACTCCTTCCTTTTTCTGCCTCCCTAAATCTATCAATGACAAATTAGGTCTTTCTCTAATCCTACCACATTGTGAATTGCAACACTGTAAGAAGATATAAGGGAGAAAAGAGAGGAGGAAACCAACCTCTACGAAACAAGTAGGTTTATTGACAGAGTAAATCTGCGAGGGATTCATCCTTCTTGCAGCCCGAGATCCCCTCTCTTACAGACACAGGGTTTTAATATTTTTCTCCCTTTGGGGAGGGCCAAGGGGTTTGGGGTTAAAATTGGGTCATACTGGGAAGGGCTGTTGCAGGGTCAGTTTTGATAGAATATGCGAACCTCAGAAAAACCATGAGGTTTCTTAGAGGAAGCCATAAAGACATAAAAACCATCAGAATGGCTAAAAGGCTCTAAATTGTAAAAGTACAAAGTTTCTCCAGTGACCTAACAGCTGGAGATTAAAGACCTGACTCTGTTCATCCCTTATTGGCTGGTCACTCCTAAGCCTGAGAGGAAATGTTTGTGGAGCCTACCTGTCTCCTCTAGAGCCATAGATAACATTTCTGCCAGTTCCTGGGTAAATAATCTTGAGCAGGAGACCTTTCAGCCCGGGCACTAACTTGACTCCCCACTAGTGTATTGTGTCCCACAACCCTGGTATAAAACCCCCCGTTTTCTTTGTCTGGTTGTAGATGCTTGGTTCCCGTGGACAGCCTCTACCTCTCACTGTATCCTCTTTGAATACAGGAAGTTATATTCCTTGCCTGTTGCAGGTCTGGCTCTAGTTTCTTGTCTCCTACTCCTTTATCTTTCCTTTTATTTTCCAAAAATCTAACAGGTTTCACCATTTCCTGGAGGGCAGTTGTGGAATCATCTGCAGTCATGAGGGAGACTGGTTCAGGGAGTGCCCTGTGTTTGGGACTGAGCCATATCAGAGGAGTCTGTGGAGGTAGAGGGGTAGGGGTGGACTTGTTGCAAGATGCTGGATTCCATGAAGGTGGCCAGAGAGTGGCAGCCATTGGAGGAGAATTCAGGACCTAATAGTTCTCCATTAAATACTCCCATCATTTCCAGAAGCAGCACTGAATACACAGTTCCAGGAAGGCAGCCTGTGTCACCAACTCTTGTCTTCCAGAGTCTCCTTAAAGCTGTGATGAGGTTGATCATTACTCAGCACACAGGGAAAAGAGGGGAAAAATCTGGCAAATAAGATTGGAGTCAAAGTCAGAAGCGTGTAAATAAGGCGTGACATCCTTTTCATGCACAGCATCCTGTTGTTAGCCAAGAATCCTGCCCGCCTGCGGGGGTGGGGGTGGTGGGGGTGGTGGTGGTTCAGAACCAGTGGAGCAGTGAGTCTAGGAAAAGAGAAAGTGGCCAGCAGGTGTGTTGTTGCAGATTACAGGCCTTTGCCTTCCCTTAACAGAGAGGTGCTCAGCCCTTGGGTAGTAAAAAGGCCAGGATTACGAGGAGGCCTAAGGAAAGTACATACTTGAAATCTCGTATTCCATCTCCACTGGTCTCTAGAATTCAGATCTCTTCTCATTAAAAAAAATATTTTATTAT